TGATACGGACGGAGTCTGGTACACAAACACCAGTTTTTGAGACACAGCCAATAAATAGATCAGTATGCACTAAAGCAAAAGAAAACATGCAAAAAGTACCATGGTTTTACCACGTTTTAGTCATGTGCCATGTACACTGACAATATCATGGCAAATATCAGATTCTCATTCAAACTCTGTGACAAATATTACTTCTGGCTGTTTCAAAACCTAGTGAGCTCCCTACCTAGACATCACTTCTGTGCATCATAGAATCCAAAGTACCTCAGATACGGATGGAGTCTGATATCCAAACGCAGGTTTTGAAACACAGCCAATAAAATCACTCAGTTTGGGTTGAAGACGCTAACAAAACAGAAGCAAAAAGTACCATTGTTTTACCATGTTTTGGACAAGTACCATGGAAACACCATGCTTTTGTAAAGGTTCAATGACATTACCATGGCAAATCCTCATTCAAATTCACTACAAATCTGAAATCTGTGACAAATAAAGCTTTGAACGTTCTGGCTGTTTCAAAGCCTAGTATGCTCCCTACATAGGCAATATGTCTGTGCATCATAGAAATGCAAAAGAGAAGCAAAAAGTACCATGTTTTTGTTTGTTTTGGTCAAATCTGCAACAAACTGAACAGTAACCAAACTACATGGTTGTTTCAAACCTAGTGAGCTCCCTACCTAGGCATCAAAAATCCTCTATAGTAACCCAATATACCTCAGATATCCAAAATCCAGGTTTTAAAGGGATAGTTCACCCAAAAATGAAAGCTTGATGTTTATCTGCTTCAGCCAATTATTCAGACAGTTTGGGTTCAAGACGGTGACAAAATAGAAGCGAAAAATAAAATGTTTTGGACAAGTACCATGGAAATATCATGTTTGTTTTTGAAAGGTACAAAGACAACACCATAGTATTTTTAAGTATCTCATAAATAACGTTACCATGGTAAGTTATATGAATGTGATGCTAATTCAGTACGGTATACATAAGTACTATAGGGTCGGATACAATCACCGTTTCATATTTGTTCTCCAGGTTTAAAATGTCTAGTGTTTGATTATTCAGTTCCCTGTAAACACTAAACATGTGACAAACGTGATTTTGACGCGAAACTGAGGAGATTTTATTGTTTGTAACACCTGCCGAAGTTCAAACGCGCCTGGTTGATTCGCTCATGTTCTTATATCAGCTTTATCACTTCAAAACTCTATTAATCTCTGATTGTCATAAATAAATCACGTAAATAATCTGTAACTCACCGCTGAGCTCGGTGGATCACCGTACAAACACTCCGACAAACTTCTGACTGACTACCGACAACAATCTGAATCAGTTCCGCGAATCGGTTCGTTCGGTCCGACAATTCAACCGACTCTCACTCCTTCAACAGCGCTGTTCGCGAATTGGTTCAAACGAATCATCAAAAAGAACAGGTTCAAATCGTTTGGAACGTTAACTAGGACTGAGTCACTTTAGTTTCCGTAGGGGGGGTTAGATGATTTATCACCTCATGAAACACGCTAAATACTTTCTATGGTATTTTTATGTTCACATAAGCGTTAAATAAGTATTGTGTCAGCAGGGGATAAAATTAGCGTGAACAGCAATTAACTAAATTACACACAAACGTTTGAACGACCTCAGTAATTAAAAAATGGTATGAGCCGATGCGTTGAACCTTTGGCTTCAGTAAAACACACCAAAAAAAACAATCAGAGGGCATTTAAAAGTGTTCCCACACAAATCAAAGACTTAAATGTGACCCTGGAGCACAAAACCAGTCATAAGGGTCAATTTTTCGAAATTTCATTATAAATAAGCTTTGCATTGATGTATGGTTTGTTAGGATAGGACAATATTTGAAAATCTGGAATCTGAGGGTGCAAAAAAATCTAAATATTGAGAAAATCATCTTTAAAGTTGTCCAAATGAAGTTCTTAGCCATGCATATTACTAATCAAACATTAAGTTTTGATATATTTACAGTAGGACATTTACTAAATATCTTCATGGAACATGATCTTTACTTAATATCCTAATGATTTTTGGCATAAAAGAGAAATGTATAATTTTGACCCATACAATGTATTGTTGGCTATTGCTACAAATATACCCCAGCAACTTAACACTGCTTTTGTGCTGCAGGAACACATATGTGTTCTCACACTTCCTACTGCATAACAATGAAGGTTTAAGCTACAGCTACCCTTTCAGCTGTGATTATAAAACAGAGCTACCTGCTGGCAGCTTCAGTTCAGATTCAGTTCAGAATCAGAAAGAATTCAGTCCCTGTTGCGATGCTTTTGTGTGGTCAGTGTTATTATTGTTCATCGATGCTGATGGAGGAAGTTGATTCTCAGCATGACAGAAGGAGGATGTGCGTGAAACAGCTCTTCTACAGAATGCGGTTTAGTTTATGTTGCTCAAGATTGTTTGTGTGACATGAGATTCTTTAGTAATAACGTGATGCAGCTTTTCCATAAATGCGTAGACAATAAAATCAACCACAATCATGCAACATAATAGCACTTAAGAGCTCACGACTGCAAAAATAATGCATGTTTATTAGTTTAGCTACATTAAGAGACTGGAAGGATCCCACACTGAAAAACATGATGCTCTTGCTTAGAATTTCCTTCTTGTTTTCCAGTACAAAATTCTAAACATTAATAAAAAAATCAAGATATGTTTAAGTCAAAATAAATTTAGATGATATAAGTGCATTTATAACATTTGATCATGGATTCGATTCCCAGGGAATGAACTGATCCAAGACTTTACATTCACTGCTATTTGAAATTTAACATTAAAAGCATCTGCCAACTAAATATATTTGAACTAAATATACATTTTATAGCTTGGCTAGAAATTGCTTTTTGTAGTCATAATCACTATAAAATTATTTTTTCAAAATGCTTATAATCATGGATGACTGAAAAAGTCATTTAAATGTGTTGGTCAGCATGTGTGGGAACCAATCAAACTCAGTTTGAACAGAAGAAAGCTACAAATCAATCAATCAATCAATAAATGAACAAATGCATACACTGGGATTTTGGAGGGGGTTTAAATTGAGAAATCTGTCATTTAAAAATTTCAATTGATTATACCAATATTTATTGTCTTGTTAAATAGCAATAAAATGATTAGAAATCAAATAAAATGTAACGAGCATAAATAAAAAATAAAAATAAAAAAAAATCAATCAATCAAAATATAAACTGGATTTTTTTTGAGTGGGTTTAAATTGTGGCTATTGTGGCTATTTTTTATAGTTGATTATACCAATATTTATTGTCTTGTTAAATAGCAATAAAATGATTAGAAATCAAATAAAATGTAACGAGCCTAAATAAAAAAAAAATCAATAAAAAAAATCAATCAATCAAAATATAAACTGGATTTTTTTTGAGTGGGTTTAAATTGTGGCTATTTTTACATATTTTTATACATTTATTATTTATTGTCTTGATAAAATAAGATTCTAATAAAAAGATTAGAAGTAAAATAAAATGTAACTGAAGCCAAAATTAAAACACTAAAATAAAATAAGTAAATAAAAATAATAAATGAGTGGGTGTGAATTGAGAGAGCATTTTTTCATTGAATATACTATTTATTAAAGTACAATCAAATCTAATGTAACTCAAACTTGAATTAAAATGCAAAAATAAAATCAATTAAAAGAAAAGAAAGAAAGAAACTGGAATTTTTGAGTGGGTTTAAATTGAGACAATGTAAAACAATAAAAAGTTATTGCACAAAAAAAATTGAGACAATCTGTATTTTTTATTTTTCATTAAATGTACCATTAAATGTACCATTATGTATTGTCTTCTTAATAAAAACAAAAAAGACTGGAAGTTAAATAGACTCAAATCTGACTTGAATCTAAATCTAAATGATTGTTTATGATCGTGAATGTAAAGGTTGTTTCAACACAACTTTGGGTCAAATATGGACTAACCCAGCTGCTGGGTTACATTTTTTAATTACATTTTTAACCCAAAAGTTGTGTTAGTCCATATTTGACCCAAAGTTGTGTTGAAACAACCCAGCATGTTTTAGAGTGCAGCAGAGCCTCCTGAGATCCGGAAAAAAAAAGTTTTCTGAATTTAGTATTTTTTCATGTCATTACATTGTTTAGAGCATTGAAAAATAACCATTTTGAAAATGTATATTTTATTCATATCATGCTATGTCATCGGTAGAGGACACCGGGACTCAATTTTTGGAAATAAATAAGTAAATAATAATAATAAGTAAATAAATAATAAAATATAAGATTAAAATAAGCAAAAAAGATTCAAATAATTAAACAGATTAAAACAAACAAATAAATAAAAATTAGAGTGAAATAAGTAAATAAATAAAAATTAGATTAAAGTAAATAAATAAAAGGTTATAAATAAATACATCAATATAATACTGTAACAGCACAGTACTATAATAAGAGAAAACAATTAATAATGGAAACTACAGTCAATATTTGCCAAAAAATATTTTTGATATATTTATAATATTATTTTTCACAGTATAAATTGTGTCTTTATGGAAGAAACAATACAAATATTTTTTATTTATTTACATTTTTCGGATAGGGGTTCCTCAGCTCGCACTAGGATGATCATATTTGGGTTCATGGCATCTAAAAAGATTGAAAACCCCTGCTTTAGATCTTTTAAATGTTCTTCAGACTCAGAAAAAGTGCTTCTTTTAAAAACAGATCAGTGAAAGGTTCTTTGGGAAACCAAAAATGGTTCTTCTTTTGCAGAGATGCTCAAATCTTTTAATAATATGAAGGGCCAAAAATCAAACTCGATTGAGGTCTGTGGGCCAAAAGTAAATGTTGCGTTGTATCCAGCTTTGTTATTTTTAATTTTATTTTTCACATTTAATAAAATGTATCAACATAAAATTTATCAATTTTTATACTGCTTTTTACACTTTATTACAAAAATTAATTTAAAATGCTAAAACAAAAATCTAAATATGCTACAATGGCACATTTGTCCTATTTTTCCCCTGCTCTTGCAAATCAAAGGTCATCAAAGGTCAGCGTTGGGCCTGGTTTGAGCATCTCTGTTCTAATGCATCGCTGCAAAACCCCTTTATTTTTGCCAGTGTTTTAATGAATGCTGATGTTTGTTGACGCAGCGGAGAGCTGGAGTTCGGATCTGTCCAGAGACTCGTGTGAATACTATCAGACGGAGATATTTGGCCTGTTGCCGAGCTCACAGGCTCATCGGCGGCTTCACGCAGAAACCCTCGCAGATGATCAGGATCAGAGTCTGCTGGACAGAGTCTCCTGGAACCCCAGCGTCCCGCTCCGAGACCTGCCCGTCTGTCTGCAGGACAAGAGAGACATCCGGTGAGACGTCTTGAGATCATTTCATCTTCACAAACACTCCTCTTCCAATGCATATTAAATCTTCCCCATCTGTGCATGCTTTTAAGGCTAGATTGAATTCGTACATTTTTTAGTAGAGCTTTTAGAATTGATTAGAGTGCTCAGGTTTTAATTTTTAATGTTTAATTGTAGTTGTGTGACTGTATGTACTGATGCTGGAAAGCACTGGTCGACAGCAGTTGTTTTAAATGTGCGATAGAAATAGAATTTGTATTGTACGCCACAAACCACTGACGAGAACAGAGACAGAAAAGAACGCCGGCTTGTTTATAGTTTTGCTAGTTGTTCATTTTAATAATCAAACTCTACAAAGATGCAGGATGACTTAAATGGCTTTAGATTGAGACAATCTGCAATTTATTACTTTTCATTGAGTATATCATTATGTGTCAAATTGTTAATTGCCGATAAAAAGATTAGAGATAAAACTACATCTAACTCTAAAATGCAAATAAATAAAGATGTAAAATGGAATTTTTGAGTGGGATTAAATTGAGACAATCTGTAATATTTTTATACTTTTCATTGAATATCCTCCTGAGACCCAGCCTATGGAGTTTTTGTCCATCGTCATGGAAACATGATAATATTTTGTTATTATCATTTAAATCTGATTCATTTTCAAATTGATTGTCTTATACAAAGTTTGGTATAAAAAAATCTTTAAACCTAAAAATTGATTGGTGATTTTTTTTAAATCCCATTGTTTTTGCCTTTTCATGTCTATTCATGTCATTTTATTTGTTAGAAAAACTGAGTCCGGGTGTCCTCTACAGAGGATAACATATGAATAAAATAGAATTTTTCAAAAATGTTATTTTTCCATTTTTTTCTTAATGCTCTAAACAATGTCAAATTCTGGGTCTCAGTAGGATATACAGTACCTTTATGTATTGTCTTGCTAAATAAAAATAAAAAAGATTAGAAGTCAATCTCTCAAACTCAAATACAAATTAAAATGCTTAAACAAAATTAAGACAACATGCACATTTTTTTTTACTTTTCATTAAATGTAGTATAATTGTCTTGTTAAATAAATACCAATAATCAGTATTAGAAGTAAAATAAAATAAAATGTAACAAACCTAAATTTAAAAAAAAAAGAAAATACTAATAATAATCAATATATAAACTGGAACTTTTGTTTAAATTGAGAAAATCTGTCATTTTTACTTTTCATTGAATGTACCATTACGCATTGTCCTGTTAAATAAAAATACTACAAGACTAAAATAAAATAAAATCTAACTCAAATCTAAATTTAAATGCTAAAATTAAATAAATTCAAGATGTAAACTGAAATCATATTTCTTTTCCCCCTCAATAACTATTGTTTTCATCAATGAACAGACAGTTCTTGAAAATCCTAATATCACAATCTCAATCATGGATAATGTAATACTTAATACTGTTAGCTCATTTAAAAAAATGCAATTACCTTTTAATTTTTTTCTATGGCAGACAAAAACAGAATTGTGAGATTTATACTCAGAAAAAAACGATTGCGAACTATGCGAAGTGCCAAAAAAATCAGCATTTGGTGTTGAGTCTCAGCATTTCAGAGTTTTGACCAGCAGTTTGTGCCAATCAGAGAGCGGCAGCCCCTGCAGAGATGCAGCATTGGCTACTGGGACTCGTGGAGGCGGAGCCAGCAGAAAACAAGGCGGCGCTTAAAGGAGCATGTGGGCGGGGCTGTATCAGGACTGTTGCCATGGAGACACACGCTCCATAAGATCGAAGGTGACTGTAGCTATGCTTCCATCCAAAGTTACGAATTAAACTTGTGCACAAAATTGGAATATCCCATAAAACATTTGCGAATAAAGCACTGCTTCCATCCAGGGAGTTGAAGAGAACAGCATTTCAGAATTAAGGAATTTATTTGGTAAAAGTGTTTCCATCGTAGTTTATGCACATGTTTTCTTACCGGATAAGACATTTGTCCTACTTAGTTGAGCGCATAAGTTTTTTATGCGCATCTTGGCGTTGACCCAAAGTTGTGTTGAAACAACCCAGCATGTTTGAGAGTGCAGCAGAGAGTGTAAGAGTCCAGAGATGCGTCGCTCGTCTCTTCTGCCTGATATACTGCTCATCAAACATCTGAGACTTCTGAGAGCTTGTTCATGTTCTCACATTCTGATGCGACAGCCACTCGTTCATCACATGACTTCCTGCAAACTCACACACAGAAGTGCTAAAGAGAAGAGCATTGCTGCACACTCGACTCCACCCGTCCGTCTCTGTGTGTGTAAAGCCTCGACTCACTGACGCATGATGGAGAAAGAAGACGGGACGCCAGACTTCCACAGACTGACCTCAGGTAAAGAAACACGTGTGTTTATGAGATACTGAGACATGTTCCATCATCATTATACATCTGATATGACACTGAATCATTTATGCATGATGATTTAGACCTGACTTCCTCCTCCTGTGGTTGGTTTGTAGAAATACATCACAACTCTTTGGTTTTGCTCGTTTTTTTGAAAACTTAGAAATATAGTGTCTTCATAAATACTTTTTGATCAGGATTTGGTTTCTTAATGTGTCTGAGAGCATCTGCACTCTTCACAATGCTTTAAAAAAGGCTCTTCATTGGCGTTAAAGAACCTTAAACATGCATGAAAACTCTTCATTGCACAAAAGGATCTTTAGATCAGGGGTTTTCAAACTTGGGTTGGAAATGTTTGGAGAAAGTGTAAAAAATTAATTAATAAATAAAAATGAAAATACAGTGCATGCATAGTTTCTAAGTAATTCTATTTTCTGACTATATTTTTTTCTCCAAGCACATTGTGCCAATTCGAAACCACATAAATCTTAATAAGTACTATGTATTTTGTACATAAAAATATGCACACCAAAAACAAAACAAAACATATATATAGGGACAGCGAGTGGACACAAAGCCCCGCGCTAGCAGACAGCAGCTGCCGCGCGTCCCGCTCCGAGACCTGCCCGTCTGTCTGCAGGACAAGAGAGACATCCGGTGAGACGTCTTGAGATCATTTCATCTTCACAAACACTCCTCTTCCAATGCATATTAAATCTTCCCCATCTGTGCATGCTTTTAAGGCTAGATTGAATTCGTACATTTTTTAGTAGAGCTTTTAGAATTGATTAGAGTGCTCAGGTTTTAATTTTTAATGTTTAATTGTAGTTGTGTGACTGTATGTACTGATGCTGGAAAGCACTGGTCGACAGCAGTTGTTTTAAATGTGCGATAGAAATAGAATTTGTATTGTACGCCACAAACCACTGACGAGAACAGAGACAGAAAAGAACGCCGGCTTGTTTATAGTTTTGCTAGTTGTTCATTTTAATAATCAAACTCTACAAAGATGCAGGATGACTTAAATGGCTTTAGATTGAGACAATCTGCAATTTATTACTTTTCATTGAGTATATCATTATGTGTCAAATTGTTAATTGCCGATAAAAAGATTAGAGATAAAACTACATCTAACTCTAAAATGCAAATAAATAAAGATGTAAAATGGAATTTTTGAGTGGGATTAAATTGAGACAATCTGTAATATTTTTATACTTTTCATTGAATATCCTCCTGAGACCCAGCCTATGGAGTTTTTGTCCATCGTCATGGAAACATGATAATATTTTGTTATTATCATTTAAATCTGATTCATTTTCAAATTGATTGTCTTATACAAAGTTTGGTATAAAAAAATCTTTAAACCTAAAAATTGATTGGTGATTTTTTTTAAATCCCATTGTTTTTGCCTTTTCATGTCTATTCATGTCATTTTATTTGTTAGAAAAACTGAGTCCGGGTGTCCTCTACAGAGGATAACATATGAATAAAATAGAATTTTTCAAAAATGTTATTTTTCCATTTTTTTCTTAATGCTCTAAACAATGTCAAATTCTGGGTCTCAGTAGGATATACAGTACCTTTATGTATTGTCTTGCTAAATAAAAATAAAAAAGATTAGAAGTCAATCTCTCAAACTCAAATACAAATTAAAATGCTTAAACAAAATTAAGACAACATGCACATTTTTTTTTACTTTTCATTAAATGTAGTATAATTGTCTTGTTAAATAAATACCAATAATCAGTATTAGAAGTAAAATAAAATAAAATGTAACAAACCTAAATTTAAAAAAAAAAGAAAATACTAATAATAATCAATATATAAACTGGAACTTTTGTTTAAATTGAGAAAATCTGTCATTTTTACTTTTCATTGAATGTACCATTACGCATTGTCCTGTTAAATAAAAATACTACAAGACTAAAATAAAATAAAATCTAACTCAAATCTAAATTTAAATGCTAAAATTAAATAAATTCAAGATGTAAACTGAAATCATATTTCTTTTCCCCCTCAATAACTATTGTTTTCATCAATGAACAGACAGTTCTTGAAAATCCTAATATCACAATCTCAATCATGGATAATGTAATACTTAATACTGTTAGCTCATTTAAAAAAATGCAATTACCTTTTAATTTTTTTCTATGGCAGACAAAAACAGAATTGTGAGATTTATACTCAGAAAAAAACGATTGCGAACTATGCGAAGTGCCAAAAAAATCAGCATTTGGTGTTGAGTCTCAGCATTTCAGAGTTTTGACCAGCAGTTTGTGCCAATCAGAGAGCGGCAGCCCCTGCAGAGATGCAGCATTGGCTACTGGGACTCGTGGAGGCGGAGCCAGCAGAAAACAAGGCGGCGCTTAAAGGAGCATGTGGGCGGGGCTGTATCAGGACTGTTGCCATGGAGACACACGCTCCATAAGATCGAAGGTGACTGTAGCTATGCTTCCATCCAAAGTTACGAATTAAACTTGTGCACAAAATTGGAATATCCCATAAAACATTTGCGAATAAAGCACTGCTTCCATCCAGGGAGTTGAAGAGAACAGCATTTCAGAATTAAGGAATTTATTTGGTAAAAGTGTTTCCATCGTAGTTTATGCACATGTTTTCTTACCGGATAAGACATTTGTCCTACTTAGTTGAGCGCATAAGTTTTTTATGCGCATCTTGGCGTTTCCATCCAGGGTTTTTTTTATGCAATATCCCAAAATGCGCATTAAAATAGGTGGATGGTAGCTTGTCATGAGTGTGTTATATGTAGGTGAGTAGATGACGATTAATCGTATGCGGTTAATCGTATGCGATCTGCTGCACAGGTCAGTTTGGGGTCGGGGTGAAGGCGTACTTCGTGTTCCTGCGTTACCTGCTGTGTCTGAACCTGCTGTACTGCGTCATTATCGCCGGATCGGTGCTGACGCCAACGCTGGTGTTCGCACAGAACTCAAGTACTCACGGTGAGACCGGCCGAAGATCTTACACATGATGCACTGATACTCATCTGGGCCCGTGTTCACAGAACATTTTATCTTACCACTGAGAGATCTCCTAAATAGCATTAAAAGCTTTTAGCTAAGAGTTTTCTCTTAAAGCTGCAGAGACAAACTTGTATTAAGGAATAGTGAGAAGTCTTAAACTCAGAGTAAGGGGGCGGGGTTTACCTCGTTGCTACACTTTGTGAAATACTCTTAGAGCGAAAATGTAGGAGTCCTACATTTAGGACTGACACGCCCATTATATTTTACGATTTTCTCCTAAATCAACGAGTTATGAGCTACTTTTAGCCTTAAGATGTTTTGTGAATACTGGCCCTGATCTCCAATAAAAACATGACTCGATTCTTTCAGGATCTCTGGGATTCCAGAACTTCTCATTCAAAGACTTTTTTGTCGGATCGGTAAGTAATTTTATTATGGTCCACACTCACCATTTCATCTGAACATCATTTTCAGATTTCAGTATTTAATAAACTCATTTAATATAATTAAAAACTCACTCGCTATGACCTGAGAGCAAAAAAAAAGCCACGTGGCTTGTTATGCTGCATTTGATTTTGTCTTTT